AAAAAAAAAAAAAAAAAGGAATGCTTAAACTAAGTGCTGGGACTACAGGTGAGCACCAAAACAATCAATTTAGGATAACAGTTCTTGAAAGGTGATCTAGTGACCACTGGGGGTTCCCAAGACCTTTTCAGGAAGTCCTTTCAGGGATTATTTTTGTAACAATACTAAGATTTTTTTTTTTTCCATACTTCAGATTGAACCCAGGGCCTTCATACTGAGCTACTTCCCCAGCTGTTTTTTTTTATTTTTATTTTGAGAGTGTCTCCTTGAGTCACTAAGTTACCTAGGCTGGGCTTAAACTCACCATCTTTGACTTCAGCCTCCTGAGTAGCTGGGACTGCAGGTGCACCCTGCACCTGGCTGTGCACAGGCTTTTGTGTGGACATGTTTGGATTGTATGCTAAGAGTATGTTTAGTTCTGTAAAAAGCTGCCAGACTGTCTTCCACAGTGGCTACTACATTCCCACCAGGGTTCTCGCTATGTAGCCCAGGCTGGCCTCAAACTGAAGGAGATCCTCCTGCCTCATCCTCTGAGGTGCTTGTGTGAGACACTACTCCTGCCAAGAAAAATAGACACTTTTTTGTTTTGCTGAGTCAAAGTCTTGCTTTGTAGTTCAGGCTGGCCCTGAACACTCTGTGTAGTCCAGGCTGGCCTCAAACTCATGGTGATTACAGGGGTGAACCACCACGCCCAGCTAGACACTTTTTAAAGAACCCTAAGGCAGCATATGGGTGTTCAGTAAACGTCTTTTGAATCCTAAATGAATGGATGCTCTGAGTGAGGTGAGGAGCAGGGCTGACCAGAGGACGTCCCAGGGGATGGGCTTGGAGACGAGTGAGTCCCTGACGGTAACCCATGTTGTTGCCAAACAGGATCAAGCAGAACCTTCTGAGCTGGAAATTGACCTGGAGGCTCTCATGGAACTCTCCACAGAGGAGCAGAAGACTCAGTTGGAGGTAGGGTGGGAGGCTGGTCACGGGCTGGTGGCTGGGTTTAGACCCAGGGCAACGCAGGGGCCCAGGCTTTGCCTCCTTGGGTGGGGTGGGGAGAACCCATTCAGAGGGATGAATCTGTGGGTGACTGAGCAGGGGCTTGTGGGAAGGTACTGTGGCTTGGGCATCCACTTTGATCTCTTCTACCCAGGGCATTCTCCAAAACTGCTCCCGCCCGACCGAGGTAAGGGATGTTCTGCTGGTCTGGGGGTCAGGGCGGGCGGGGTGGGGGGCTGCTAATGCCGTCAGTGAGACGTGTTGGAAAGGAAAGCTCGGCCCTGTTTCCTTCTCCCCTTCCTGACTCTGGGGAGGTAGGGTCGGGGCTGGATTAGGAAGAGCAGGGCGGTGGGCGGGTGTGACCCCATGCCTTGATCTCACTCCCTTGTATCCCTCAGCCTTTTATCTCTGAGCTGCTCAGTCAACTCAAAAAACTTCGGAGACTCAGCCGGCCTCAAAAATAAGCCTGGAGAGACCATCCTCAGCAGCCTCCGCACTGCCAGGCCTGGCAGGACCTCCTGGATCCTGGCTGAGCAGAAAGCAGCTCCCTGGGACCCAAACAAGGACCAAGGAAGATGGACACTTGTGTGCCTCGAGCGTGCGTGCAGTCACGGCTGCGTGCTCTGGGCCGGGCTCGCGGAGCCCATCCTAGCTGCTGCCCAGTGCTTTCCTTGGCGGCCACGTGGATAAAACCTTAAGGGGGCCTGGCTGAACAGTGTGCACTGTGTCCGTGCTGAGGGGAGGGAGGGTGGAGTGAAACCCTGAAGACCAACATCCTAAGTCACCAGGCTGTACTCACACCTTCCCCACCTATCCACCCATCCACATCAACAAGAACAAGTCTTGAGAATTCAGGGGCTGGGGATTTAGCTCAGTGGCACAGCACCTGCCTGGCAAGCGTGAGGTTGTGAGTTCAATTCCTGGTACCGGAAAACAAAAAAAAATGAGAATTCAAAGGTGAAGGTCTCTGCCGTTTTTTTTGTTTGTTTTTGGTCTTTTTGAGACAGGGTCTCGCTTTGCTGTTCAGGCTGGCCTTGAGCTCACTTTGTAGCCCAGGCTGGTCTCAAACTTTTAAGGATCCTCCTGCCTCAGCCTCCGAATGCTGGGCTTACAGGCATGTGCCACCATGCCCAGCAGCTCTGTTTTGAAGAAATCACAACTTAGTAAAGCCCAGAGGTCAAACCGAGGGCATCCTGGCATCACCAGCCACAGGAGTGCAAATGGCAAGACTAGTGAATCTCAGGGTAGAGGTAACAGTAAACACCTAGCTGGACCTGGGACCCTCTGAGGCTAACCCCTTCTCCCCTCACAGCTGATGCAGGCCTCAGACTGAGGTCTCTTTCTTGAGTTGGTTCGTCAGGAGTGGGAAGAGAATAGGGAGAGGCCTTGCTGAGGAGCCTACAGGGTACAGGTCAGGTCAGAAGAAGTTACTGGGAGACAGACACTGGGTCTGAATGGCAGGCAGACTGGGACAGGAGCCCTGGAAAGTGGGGGTCCCTGTGAGTAAGGCAGGAAGTGGCCATGTCTGCAAAATTGTTCCTACATGCACTCTTTGGGTTCTTGAGAGGTGAGAAATCCAATATGGAGTCTGGTGGCAAGCTGGGCTGCCCGCAGCAGGAAGACAGTTCACTTGAATGAACATTCATGCTTAGTTCTTGAGGCCACCTGGATGGGTGGGGCTGTTCTTCCTGGGAAAGCCTCCAGGATGTCCAAGCCTTTCCCTGTCCACAGGACCATGCTCATAGCCTACTCTGCTCCTGCCACCTCTCACAGGGCCCAGGCTCAGGACCCACAGGATTCTAGAGCTAAGAGGTGCTGCAGGGAGTGGGGGTAGTTCAGAGGAAAACATGCTCGGTTGGAGTGAAGACCCAGATTCAATCCTCAGCACCAACACCAACAAAGACACAGGCTGGGCCCAAAGACACGGCACACTTTATTAGATCCACTGCATACCAGGGAGGGCTCTGGGCCCTGAAGCCTGGCTACAGGGTTCATCTTCAGATTCAGTTTGGTCTTTTCCATCATGCCCCTCACTTTTAGTCCAGGTTTCCTGCAGAAGGGCTCATACTTGTTTTTTTTTTTTTTTTTTTGTCTTTTTGAGATAGGGTCTCACTGTGCAGTTCAGGCCGGCCGTGAGCTCACTTTGTAGCCCAGGCTGGTCTCGAACTCACAACGATTCTCCTGCCTCAGCCTCCCCAGTGCTGGATTACAGGCGTGCGCCACCACGCCCAGTACCTACTTGTTCTTCTCTGGTTACTCCAGTCATCATCTCGAATGAAATTCTTCCTCCTTCCAGGGACAACAAGGCTCAGAGGGGCACATTCATCATCAGTAGAGCCTAAGCTGCTGTCCCATTGGATGGCCTAGGCCTAGAGGTGCCAGCCTGCAGGCTGCCCAGAGGGCTGGTTCCCAGGAGGGCCAGGGTTTTCTCAGTGCTCTCGGCCAGCGTGTCGGGGACGATAGGCAGATGTCTGGTGCTCCTTCAGCTCAAAGGCATCATGGCCTTCCCTGTGGAGCAAAGGGCTGAAGGTCAGCGACCCCAGGCGGCCCTCGAGTCCTCCCATAGCACATCCCACCTGCACCCACCGGAAGCACTGGGCACAGTAGAGGTCTCCGTCACAGCCAGTGCAGCGCAGGGTGGCATCCTCATTGCAGATGCAGCACCAGGGGAGCTCTTCCTCCTCAGTCTCAGGCCTACGAGCCATGGGCTGGACCTTGGGGGACTGGAAGGAATGAGGGAAGTGAGTGCCCAATGGGAGCATCAGCCAGGCCGGGAGGAAGGCTGCGGGCAGCCTGGGGATGTGTGTCTGGGGCTTCTCTCACCTCAGGCTTTGCCTTCCAGGCTTGGGCCCGAGGTTGGGAAGCTGGCTCCACAGGGAGGTTAAAGCCACTTGCCTCATCCAAGGCAGTTTCTTCAGTGAGCTGTGGACAGGGTGGAAAGGTACCATTCCCTGCTCTAGGCCTAGATGCGTTTCTCTCAATAGTTCCACACTCTGCAGCTTCAGTTTCTCAACTCTTGTTCCATTACCTCTTGCCTGAGGCTGCCGATCCCTAGCTCAAGAGACTAGGGAGAAGGACCTTGTCACTGGGACAGAGAGCTCCCACTAGATAGGAGGTGCAGAGTGACTCCCACAGCCCAGGGCGGGGGCCAGGTGGACAGGGCCAGGCAGGTGGTGCAGTATGGGACAGAGGCGGGACCCAGGAGGTGGGTGGGAAAGCCAGGCCCACCTGCTGCATGACTCTCTGGATGGCTGTCTCCTCATCCTCATCCTCATCACTGTCTGGGAGGCGGCAGTCCTGGAGGGTCACTTGAATAAGGGAGAGGTGGGAGCAGGGGAACGAGTGAGGGTGAGAGATTTCACTTGAATGGCCATCCTCTTGCCTTCCGCAGCTGGTTTGTTTCCCAGGCACTTGTTCCCGAGCTGAGAAGCCTCATTAGCCCGCCTGATCAAAACTTGTCTCTCCCTGCCCTACCCTGCAAGGCTGGGCCATCACTGAAGCAGCCCTGAGGAGTAGGGGCAGGAAAAGAGGCCTCAGCATCTAAACGAACTGAAGGTCCTCCTGCCCTCTGAAGGCCGCCACTGGTTCTTCATCCTCTGCTTTGCCCTAGCCCAGTGATGGCGAACCTTTTAGAGCTTTCAGTGGTACAAACAGCCCACTGGAGCACATGTGCCATCAGTTCGCCACCTCTGCCCAAGTCCATTCCTCATGGCTCTGGGCACAGGGACTCCTGGTCCTTGACTCAGCCTTAGCAGGGTCAGCTTGGCCTGGGACAGAGGGAGGCCTTGACCAACAGACACGAGTGAGTGGCTAACTCTAGTCTTTACCTCTGTCGGGGTCCTGTCCCTGCAACACAGCCAGTCGCTTGGCAAGGGCCAGGATCTGCTCCTGCCTGGTGTTTTCCTCCCGGAGTTCAACTGCTGCCGCAGCCAGGAGCCTGTGCTTCTCTTCCAGGGACCAGCTGGCCTGCGCCTGGGAATTAGTGTGCTGGCTCCCTACACCACTCTGGTTGAGGTCATTCTGGAGAGAGGCAGCAGCTGGAAAAAGTAATGCAGTTAGGGACGCAGAGGCATTCTAGGATCTCTCCCCAAAAGACACTTTTTACACACACTCAGCGTTTTGCTAGTATGAGCACCTATGGCTTATATTACAAATAAAAAATTAGTATTTCCTCCATTTTTCCAAATGATGTCGTTTTTACCACCTGATACAGTGTAGGTGTCCCATGGTCTGAGACTCACCTCCCTAAAAGATCGGGCTATAAGGGAGCCAAAGTGCAGCCAGTCTCTCCGCCTTTCAGAGTTGGAATTAGCATTTCTCAGAAGCAGCACAGAGGGCCCGAGTGAAGCTGAGGTCTTGTACATCACTGGGCAGGAGCAATTTTACAGAATGGGTGTGGCTCTGCTAGGCCACCTTCAGCCTAAGTTTCAGAGCAAGAGATCCGAAACCAGACAGATTTGGATTCAGCTTCCCAGCTTCCATCTCTGAGGCTTAAGTGTTGTGTGTCGCCTTGGGCAAGTTCCTTACGCTCACCAGGTTCAGTTTCCTCATTTGTAAAGAAGGGTAATAATGCATATCTCAACATTATTGATTCTCAATGAGACTGTGTAAGGAGGGTGTTTCCATCTTAGTTCTACTGACACTTTGGAGTGGTACAGTTCTTTGTTGGAAGGAGCTGACTTATGTGTTGTAGCAGCATACCGCCAGATGCTAACACTATCCCCTGAGTTGTGACCACAAAGCCTTTAGACATTTACGAAAGTGCCCAGGGGAAGTAATTATCCCTGGTTGATAACAACTGCTCTGAAGTCTTCAAATAGCCCTGTCCAATAGGTTTTCTATGATGATGCAAACATTCCACATCATGTTCTATACGTGTGCTGTCTAAGATGGCAGCCATGAGTTCATGTGGGTTTGAACACGTGGTTGGCAGCACTAAGCAACTAAACTTTAAATTGAATTTAATTTTCTCTCTCTCTCTTTTTGGAGACAGGGTCTCTCTATAAGTCAGGCTGACCTTCAACTCACTATGTAGCCCAGGCTGGCCTCTAACTTGTAGCAATTCTCCTGCCTCAGCCTCTTGAGCACAGGGATTACAGATGTGTACTACCACTCCCAGCTGAATTTAATTTTCTTTCTTTTTTTTTTTTTT